TTCTTTTTTGTTTTACAAAAAAAAAAATACAATTTAGCCTTTTTAACGTGATCGCGAAAACTAGCGTGTCGACAGCGAAAGTATTAGCGGTCAGTTTAGTTTTCGCGATCAGGCTAAAAGGACTAAAAGAACAATTATTTTTTTTCTTTTTGAAAAACAAAAAAAGAAGTCCCGACTTTGCCAGTCTACCTTAAGGTCTATGCGTTATCGGATCCCTCAGGCGAAGATGAATTCATGAGGTTTTGTATATCATTATGTGTTTATACCAGACCGGGATGTACAAACAAAAAGCGTCCTTCGAGCCGGATTCGAACCAGCGACCTAAGGATAACTAACAGCTGTTGCCTACTACAGTCCTCCGCTCTACCAACTGAGCTATCGAAGGGCTACAAACTGATTTCTCACTCGTCGAAAATATATGCGTTGGCCCATTTGTAATCGCGGGAAGGACAGATATTGAACGTTGTTTATCGGGTGCTATTGAAATTGAAATCAACTGATGAACTGCCGCTCGGTAACGCCGATTTCGTAGATTCCACAATGTGGCGGTTGTTGAACAACAAGGAAGCAGCAGTGTTTTGCCCCCCGGGATTCAAATGACTCATCCCTATCCATTAATGCCCTTATTTACAATAGCAATAAACGATGAAGACAAATATTTCACCTGTTTCTTAATCTGCGTTTGCATTTCGTCATACATTTCGTTTTGTTGTAATTATGGAACTAAAACAATCAGTTTCGGGTTTCAATTTTGAGTTTCAAGCGTCAAAAATGTTTCCTACTAACCCACAGACCCGACAATATGGTGTAATCTATTCAGCGGTCCAGTTGAATAATTGCGATTTGATAAATACTAGTAGCCCCTATCCCAGTTATAGTCGATGTGTACATGCATGGAGCTAAGAATAGATCACAATAAGCTAAGTGATCTATTTTTAGCTCCACGGTGCACGCATGCGGCTGAACCCAAACAGCGCCACCGCTTGTCCAACAAATGTTTATTCGATGAAAACCTGTTTCATTTGTTTGAATGTTGAAGTTGAATGGGAGCTCTGTTTGCTCTCTATAAATCGACGTAGATACATAAAACTGCTCAAAATCAATTACCCCATGCAACAAAATTAATCGCATCCTTCGAGCCGGATTCGAACCAGCGACCTAAGGATAACAGCACATGACCACTACAGTCCTCCGCTCTACCAACTGAGCTATCGAAGGGTTGCTGGTTGCTAAGCGATCGATAAATAATTTGAGTGTTCACACGTTTTCGATAATAAACAATGGAACACTGTAATTACTCGGCGCCTTGTCTCTGCTCGGTTGTTACCATGAATACATTCTCCTATGGACAATAATTAGATTTGTCACTAATAACTGAATACAAACATATCTATTATCTCTACTGAGAAACGAACCCGGGTTCAAAATGTCGACTTGCAACTTCTGCAACATGTCTGAACAATATCGTTGATGAATATTAAAGGCGGCAGTCGTCGTGCCGCGTCCTGTTTAATATGGGACTCATAGCGACGCATACAACGCGTGTAAAATACATTATTTACTTACATAAAATTCTTACACGCGCTGCGCGACGCCCACCGCGCATTAAGGTCACCGGCATATTATTGGCCACGATGATGACGCATGCGTTAACATGCTGCATTTAACACTAGAACAATAAAAACAGATTTACATCTTCGTAAGAGGGTGGATGCTGGAGCGTAACAAGAAAATGACGTCATTAATTGATGAGCAGAGCGTAACAAGAAAATGACGTTATTATTACATAGCATCGGAGGTATGACCATGAGTCCGAGAGAACGCCCTCGTGATATAATCGCCCGGGGTATAACCTTTTCAAAGTGGTTGTTTTCAGTTAATAATATACAATCTTTAAATTGGCAAATATATACATGTTGTGTAATAAATTTGTATATATATATTCACACGATGTAAACCCGCGTATTTTTTTTCCTGATCAGTTTGTCGTCAGACTAATCTTTGTATTGGTTATTGTTTCTAGTGCGCATGTCTTGTGATTTGTGATTATCTCGAAGTGCGCGCGCGTGACTTGGTATTAAGATCATTTATCACATAATATCATACCAGTTACATACCCCTATCTTATAAATCCTTTGTTATATGTAAAAGAATATGCATGTATTTATAAGACTGCACTTAAACTAAGCTGCATCACAACATTAATTTTTCATCCCACGGTTGAATAACGTAGACTTCGGGGGGGGGGGGGAACTGAATGGTTTACAGCCTTATCATGATGTTTGGAAGAGGACTTTGACTCGTACACAATTCAGCCATTATGCAACACAATAGTTTAGTCGTCCCACATGGGACACAACAATGTCGCACAGGGAACTCATTAATTAATTAAAGTTCATTCATTCATCCATTCAGTCAGTCAGCCAGTCTGTCTGTTTTTGTTGAAGGTAGCCCTGATCGTTGGCTGGGCCGAGTGATATTGACATGTGTGTATAGTGGACCGTGGACGACCGAATGTTAGTATCGGCCCTCATTCAAACGCGGACCCTTGGACCGTCATGATTATATTACAAGGCGGTACCTACTATAACAAGGCAGACCAGTGAGTATGAATAGTGCTTATCGACATCGATAGTGGTAACGCAAATATTCCATTCCTAAGTGTGATTGATGGATAATGACAAGCTTTGCACCGCGCGTGACCCCTACCACCATCACCACACCCCCCTCGAAAACAAAAATGTGTTAATGCTAATCAACTCTACCGAATGACGCACATTTTTTTTCAGCAGATAATGGAATGATCTGAAGCCGTACCTGTTGCTTTACCGGAAATGGAATAATTGCCTTATTTTAATGTTCGCCGTCGATTGAATGGTAACCAGTATATTTGACCGCACTGCCCGAAATAGCACACCATTCTTATGAGCCGCGGCGAATTAGAACTACTACGGCATTTGTATCAACATGGATTGAATCAGGCGGTTTAGAAGAGCATTCTCCTTCCCATTTCCTACACAGTCCACACTCCGGTACATTTCACCCTGGTTGTGTGCGTGTTGGTGATGTAAAGAAGTGTTTTCAACCTGGTGATTTTTGAACCGTGACCATCCCAGGCGTTTTTCCTCGGTACTATATCGCTGCATGGTGTATGTATTGTGAAGCTTGGATAAGGTGGTACAACACATTGCCTAGTGTTTTTTTTGTCGCATCGCTGTATTATGCTGCGCAGACAACTCATGCTTACTATAGTGTAACACCTAGGTATAAAGACACATCGCTATAAGGAAGTGCAGAGTTTACGTGTGTCGTCAGTTTTAGGGCTCGTCCGCCATATTGCACTACTACTTGTTGTCAGCTTGACGATTGAATCATTAACGACGTGGACGTAATGAGACGTAAAAACTTAACAGTTATATTGGCGTTAATCGCAGTTATAAATGTCTTACTAATCATTGTGTTCGGCTGGCCAACCACTAGTTTTTTGAGCAAGAAAGACAGTACACTGACAGCTGCCGCGCAAGGGGATCGCCATGAAGATATGTTCTTACCCCGCCGTAAACAGCTTTATGATACGGTCGACGTACCGACATATTCTGACGAGCTGAAAGGATTGAACGACACTATAAAACACATCAGGGCGCTGTTGATAGCAAATCATCAAAGTAATGGTCATAGGCTGGACGTTATTGGCAGCAGGCAACAACTTAACGAGCAACTACTGGTTAACATACTGGCCAATATCTCTAATACATATGAAGAATTGCAGCATATGAACCAATCTATTATTTCTGCCAATTCTAAGCTAAACAACTTCATATCTAAATGGAACATCCAGTCCCAGGCGAAGGCGAGAGTCAATGTATTATTGATGGCGAGTATGCGCACGGGGTCCTCTTTTCTCGGTGAAATGTTCCGACAACACCCGGATTATTTGTACATTTTCGAGCCTCCTAAAGGACTACGTTTAAAGGATTACGACCCAATGCTGACCGTAAACGGAGTGCAAATGCTAACAGACATATACAACTGTGATTTCACGTCGCCTTTTTCTAAACCATTACTGGACAATCTGTTTAATCCTGTCGCACCGTTAGCTAGAAGAAATGTTGTCCCGGCATGGGTCAATGAAAAATACTGCTCCGGATGGAGCGACCAAGCTAAAATTTATGCTAAATGTTCACCAATGTCGCCATCAATGGCGTCCGAATCCTGTCGTTCTTTTAAGGGTGTTGTTGCCAAGGTGATACGTATCTACGACATTTATCCATGGTTTCACCTCATGATGAACTCTACTGTAAATCTTAAGGTGGTTAACTTAATCAGAGACCCGAGGGGCGTCATCGCGTCGGTTATTCCTGTTCATCTAAAACAGTATGCATCGCTGATAAAAAAGGAAGATATCGACATTCAACTAGAAGAGAAGCACTTCGACGATGCACTGTCACAGAGGCTAAGTTTATACTGCTCTACGATGTTACGTAACGTTCTTGTGAGCAATCATGCAAAATGGTTACCAAAAGAGAACTACATGGCAATCAGATATGAAGACATGGCAGAAAATCCAATCAAGGCGGCAGACACAATCTTCAACTTTCTGGGCACAGATGTCCACGATAATGTAATAAGATGGATAAAGGAGAACACGAACTACACCGATGGTTCCAATAGCCCTTACTATGCGTGGCAAACTAAACGAAACTCGAAAGAAGTATCACAAAAGTGGCGACAGAAAATGACTTATGGGCTTGCGAAAAAAATAGAAGACACAGGAGACTGTTCTCATCTCTTGGAAACTGTCGGTTATCGGAAAGTTGAAAACCCCAAACAGCTAAAAGACCCAGCTGTCTCTTTTGTATTACCAAAACCAAGTTGGTTAAGCACATCAATCCAAAGCTAAACAGTTCTGAACCCATCAATCAAGCTGCTAATTCATATTTAATTACATCGAACACAGAGGAACGACTGTGAGTCTTTATTTCAACTACGATATATATAAGTTACTGAGCAATGTGTCACATGAAATGAAAGACGACATCATTCATAATTTAATTAAGTTTGAACTGTGCACAAGTGTAATAATGGGACTGTTTGGCTTTTCATATTAAATCAAGCGTACGAATTTCATAACAAGTTTGGTGTTTTTCCAATACTAATAATTCTATGAGACAGAACGCCGTCGCATCGACCTCCGCTGCGCGTCGGTTGATAGATCCGCTGTACTGTCTTCGTGCATATTTTGAGGTATCCTCGTAATAACCTTATTATTATACGTCTTTTTCTTCCAACGATACATCATGGGAATGCCGAAATCCAACATGTTTAGAACAGAATCAGCGAACTTCTTTGTGTTGAATTCGTTCAAACTCTGATGGCAGCCACGTTTGTTTTTGTTATTAGAGAACGCCTACGCGCGTAATCATTCCATATTGGGAATTCGCATTTTCTAATATGGTAGGATGAAAATACCCCGTAAAATACCGCAAAATTACGGCACGCTGAAACTAATGGCGTCACGGTGACAGATGATACAACTAATGTTCTGGCTTACACCTAGCGTTGTATTATGAACATACTTTTGTTTTTACGGATCAAAACTACTGTTCCTGTCCTATATATATGATATGACCATTCCTACACTACTCGGAGTAATTGAGTCCGAAATTAAATTGTTCTAAGCTTATTTGTAAAAAAAACGGCAAGTTGTTGCATGAATATCTATTTATTAATATGACAAAAATGACCACTCCCATATTTAAGAAACCACGCTGACTTTTGCTAAAACCACGTTGTATGTAGCCCATATCCCGTTCAGGTAAATTTTAGTTATTAAAATTGAACGTTAAACAAAACAACAAACCTACGTCTAAAACAGTTGCCCTCAACTCGAAGGTCGGTTAACTGTTAATCGAAGTTCGAGTTACTAAATGTGAACGTTCAACTAAACGAATAATGTACGTTGGCCATTACTCGAAGTTCTGTTAACTGTTACTTCAACATCGATCGCGAGTTACAAGTTGGGCGTGTTCTCGCAAAAGTGTGCGTAGAAGTCAGCCGAGCCCTGGAAAATGTTACACAAAACAGAGGCAATTCATCTGTGTTCAAGGTTGTAAATGCGTGAGCAAATTAATGATATACAAAAGAACGTCACTGACTAGAAAGATGTATGTGTATAGCAAGATATGTCATACAATGGATAACATAGATCGCTACGGTTATAATTTATAGTACTATACGCAATAATTGTTAAAAAGAAACAAATTAAATACTTATTTCATAGCCCATCTGACCTTTGATGCGGTTCGTGATACCATGTTTTGTAAAAATCATCATTCATAACATTTTTGAAAACCGTGATAAATAAATCACTATTTATAGCGGGATGCCTCCCTATGTCTTTTACAACGTTTAGACATAATCCAATTCATTCTAAAATATGGAAACAGTTTACACGAAGTAATTAAAGTCCTCCTGTTGTTTTATATTGTATTTTTAAGTATAATTTGATCGAAGTGAATACTTTTTAAACTCATGAGTTATATAGATTTCTTCAGTACTCTTTTCTATGTACACATGTTATCTATAGAGCTCATTGCAATTGCCATAAAACGCTATGTAACACGTGGCAATACAGTTAAATATTGTCACATGAGGGCGCAATGAGTCGCCTCTTGTCATTCACTTCGAAATAATGTCCTTGCAGTAGCAATACTTCCGGATATTAATATCCTGGCTCACATCATAACGCTGTTCTCCGTTGTTGACGTGGTCCATTCGGATTGTCCCCTCAAATAAAGCATGGACTGGTATCGTTTCGATGGTTACCTGATAGTCAATGTCCATGCAATTGATGTTCACGTTAGCCTGTTCACAAAATCCAGGAAGTGATTGGTCATCGTCAGTCAATACTTCCGGTAAATCTCAGTACCTTAAATGACAACAATAGGATGTAGCATTCTGTCGTCCTCTTCACCGATGTAGTGAAGTCTGTGACTTCCAACCTTGACAAAAAATAAAACGTAATTAACACGGTTATGGGTGTGCACTCTGACAGTTTAATATGTGTATGTAACACCTTGTACTTAAGAACATGTTCCTTGTATGATGTTGCACATACTCTGTCAAATAGATTTTACGTTGCATTACGATGTAAGTATGTACTTTGAATTATTAGTGCGTACCGAAAATTGGAAGCGCATGTATATTTGTGTGATGAATCGAAAGCGAAAGTCATCTCCCACGTGTCCGCAAGACGTGTGACACTTTATTGCGCACATTCGATCATGTCTAAAAGCTGCAGTTATTGCGTGTGTATTGGTTCCACTAGCGATAAACCAAGGTAATCAGTATAAAGCGTTTATTCGATACAGTAGTCTAACATCAAGATATTACAAAAGTACAATCACGATACACACCAAAATATACAGTGAGACGTCCTTTATCAAGGGTTTAACCGATTGGTTTGCAATGTTGACAAGTCATTTTGAATATATATTTCAACTTAATCCTTGATAAGTGTCATAAGTACATTTCATCCTCTCTTAACTACCACGATGTCTCTACAGCCTGCGTGTATTCACGCATACTCATATTCGCGTAACTTATTTAGATTTGTATGACGTTAGGTGGGTATTATTTTTGCCACAGTAAATTATGAGTTATGAGACGAGGCCGTTAGTTATGGGGTCTATGGAACTAAGAGTGAAAGAGCTCTCTCTTGTATTTCAATTATGGCGGCGTCGCATTCGATCGGAGACTCTTCTGGAAAAAAATGTTAACTGCCTGAATACTGAGCCTGAGATTGTACCAAGACTTAGGTAGGATATGTTGGGAGCAAACACGCTACAAAAACTGTTGTTTTGATCAACCCGTGAGAACTTAAGTTTGACGTGATTGGTAGGTGAACCACCGTAACTTTACACAGACAGAAAACCCAAAGTTTATTGATTACAATCGAACGTTGAACATTAACGACATAAATTTTTAAGTCATCGAAACATTCTGACTTGTGCAATTTATACTGTTTTTTGAGAGTGAGAAAAAACTTTCATCCTGTGTAGACGTAGACGTAGTATGCGTAGACGTCAGGGTCACGTTGAATCACCACTTGTAGCACGATGTTGGCTGTTTTGG